GTGTGTGTGTGTGTGTGTGTGTGTGTGCGGGCGGGCGAGTTGAATGCTTGTGGGTGTCTACATTCGCTGCTGACAGGTGCATCAAATAATCAGCTCAGGCATTCTCGATATCGCAGCCAGGACTGTGAGTAAAATTATATATGTGTGTGTGTCTGTGGAAGGGGGTCACTTCAGGGTGTGAAATAGGGGCAGAAGGCGGGGTGAGGAGAGTTCAGAGGTATAGTGTGCTATCTCGGCATGATGAGTATTTGGCATGAAGACAGAAAGAGAACACAAGGCAGACAATCAGAGTCGTAGAGACACTGGACTGATTTTGACGGAGTGGGTCATTAAATATACAAATGAGCCAAGAGGAGAATTTGACTGGTATAGCCATTTCAGTATGTCTTTATACTTGACTTTCATCAAATACATAAACACACTATGTCCTGCAAATCTACGCCCATCTGGGTGAAATGTCAAGTTTTGAATGACCCCCCCCCCTGCCTTAAAAATGGGACTCCTTTGTTTACTTCTGTAACATTTGCGCTTCTATTGTATGCTACAAAATATTGTATGAGATAGGCTAATGGGTGGGACATTTCTAAGTGGTTGACCAATCACAACAGAGCCAGCCGTCTGACCAATCAGAGCAGACTGGGCTCTGGTTTCAGACAGAGGGTGAAAAGAGGTAGTAGAGAAAAATAAAGAGCTTTTTGAACATTAAAGCATGGAGACATGTCACAGGAGAGGCTAAAATACAAATATAAAACCCGAAAAAGAGGGTTATAGGTTTATTTAAGATGTGAATTTCGCTACGTTTAAATATTGTAAGTGAGTCAGTGTTTCCTATTGTTCTACTGTGAAGGTTTTTCTTCTCGTAATTTATCACAGTTACATCACGAATGTATCTTACGGTTTGGCAGCAGCAGCAAAATAAAATAAAAATGTGATATTAGGAAATTTGCTGTCGAACTGTTTTGAAGGCTCACCTCGAACAGCCGTTACCAGCTGCCAAGTTTTGTATTTTCGAGCCAAAATTACCCATATATTTTTCAGTGTGAACTCTAGCAGGTAAGATGAGAATCCTTTGGAGGTGGTGGCAACATTCCTGACTACAACCCCTAAAAGCTAAAGTCACTTCCTCCATGTCCTCCCTTCCATCAAACACACTCCCTCTGGAGAATCTGCAATAAAAACAAATCAGCCATCGAGGACCCCAGTGGCCGAAAGCGTCCGTAGAACTGCTCGATTATTTTTACCTGACACAGGAAAGAGCCCACTCATAATAAACGCAGGGCGAGGTGGTGACAGATCTCGTTAACCTTATTATGAATGAAAGGAAGAGAAAGTTACAGGGGGGCAGGGGGTGTGAGGTGAACGTGTGCCTCGACGTCTCCCTGAGGTTCAACCCTGACCTTTAGCCCGACCCGATGGAGAACACACACACATTCGCTCACGTACCAGCAAGTATGCAACCTTTTCCTTTAAAGTTATAGGTTTCAGATAAGCACACACACATTCAAAATGTTAAGATATGACAGATACAAATATCATTTAAAATAATTCCACTGTATCTATATACTTTTGTAAATGTTAATACAGGTGGACTGTGCTTAGGTTATGTTTCTGTTTGCAATACCATTCTTATTAAGTGCTATAGTTCCTTATTTATGGCAGGTGAAGTTTAAAGTTTAAAACTATGGTATGCTAGTAAGATGCTAGAAGGTTTGTATATTTTAAAGGGGCCTTTAATGCTCATCTTCAGGTTCATATTTGTATTAAGTGTCTCTACTGGGACATGTCTCCATGCTTTAATGTTCAAAAAGCTCTTTATTTCTCTCACACTGTCTGTGCTGCAGCACCTCTTTTCACCCTCTGTCTGAAACCAGAGCCCAGTGTGCTCTGATTGGTTAGCTGGCCGGCTCTGTTGTGATTGGTCAACCGCTGAGAGATGTCCCGCCCCTTAGTCTATCACGTACAATGTGTTGGAGTGCTATGTTTCATATTGATGTCACAATGTTCCAGAAGTAAACAAAGGAGTCCATTTGAGGCCTTTCTATCGGACTAAGTGGTTATAGGAACTTGGTGGATTGTATAAAAAGCCACTCACTTCTGCCTAAACCATAATGTGCTTTCCTATATTTGAATGAGTCTGAGGACACCCAAAGGGTCACATTTAATGGCCCTAACCACATACTTGAGTCTTGGGATTCAAATCCGTGTTTCCAGCACATGTCAGATCAGCGTAATACTTCACAAGCTACATGAACAGTAAGCTTAGCCAGTTCAAGTCACTGACAGATGTTATATGTTTAATAAGAGGCCAATCATACCTGATTCCAACCAACAGACAAAGCACATATGGTGACAATATGTGATGACAGCTTGGAAAAGCCACTGTTCTGACGATCTGCACTCATGTATCCGATGCCAACATATTTAAAGACATTTACAGACTGATCTCAGCATTACCATACAGCTCAGACAAGCATCAAGTATCTAATTTCATCACTAAATTAAATGGCATGGAGAGATTAATGTGACATATCCTGTTCGCAAATGGCCCCAATTTATTATGCCAACTTCATTGCTGCCAACAATTGGCATGCACTCAATTGTGAAGTAGCATAACCACTTAATGGCTTTCAATAAAACATAAGAGTTGTTTTTTCTAATAATAAACAAACACATCTTATCAACTGGGAGTTTTGGTGTTTTGATGGTTCCAAGAAGTAGCCACAGCCCCAAAGTCCAACATAGACGACATTCTCAGTATTTATACAACTCCAAACGACCTGCCAGTGACTCAAATTAAAGGATCACAACCATTAAAAAAGGTTACTAATTCACATACAGTAAGTAATCATTTACACGGTAGTGTGAGAGGTTTAACACACATTTGACCCTATGGGCTTACCGTAGATGTATGTCTGTTAAGATCCCTCAGTATACTTAAAAACCTATAAACTCAACTTTGATACTAAGCTTCTGAACATACAAGCTGCCCTGAACTCTTCCCGCACAGATTTTATGTGAGATTCCTAAAACCCTGTTAATGGTCGACAATTATTTTTCAAACATGTTTTTGGTTAGATGCCCAAAATGAGGTCTGTGGTTAAAACAAGTTAGAACAAGATATGTTCACGTTTTGTTCTACAATAACAAACCAATAACCATTTAGGAATTGAAAGTTTTAGCAGCTATATGTTGCAATCTCACAGTTTGCCTAATAAAGGAGATACCACTACTAAGAAAAATGGTTAAAACAAAACAAAAGGACATGAAATTGGTGGAGAATCAAACACAATCACCACAAGAAGAAGGAAAACACGTCACACTGAAGCCAGTGGAGACTTGGCAGTTGGCCATTGTTCTAATGAGTGCCCATTAGGAAATGGACTGATTCCCTCTCAGAGACCTTAAGCTAATTTCCTGAGGCATACCGACTCCTTTGAAGAAGGGGTACTGAAAGGCTGCGTGTGCCACTGGGTCGCCAAGGTGACGGGACATCCCGGCAGGAAAAACAGGAAGTGAGGGCAAGGAGGGACTCTGATTGGACCCCTCCTTTCTCGCGTGCAGCCCCCTTCCCCTCTTTCAATTTTGTATATGTGTTAATGGGACCGTGTCACTTAAAAGAAACATTGTAACCATGTGAATAAACACCCAAGTATTTCACCTTATTATCAGTCATGAAAGCATTCTGTATTCAAGGCTAGGAAATCCATTTCAGCTCCGGTTATGGAAGTTAATTTATACCTCATTTACTCCATTGAAGTTTCAGAACATGCTTTTATGCTTCAAGTAATGACAGAAGGACATCCTGACCTCAACGATCTGATTCTGAATAAAATAAGTACTTGAATATGGAAAAAAAGGCAAAGGTAAAAGACTGTGTACATAAGTGTTTTAAAAGTGAAGAAAAAACTCAAGCCAGAAACCATTGTGTCGCAAAGCAACTGTTGTCCATCTCAAATGAAGACAGATTCATCAACTGCAATGCTTATTTTTGGCAGAAAATCTTTTCAGAAATCCAATTTGGTGAACTATCTTTGTATATATGGTGGCGAAGTCCATGGGGACTTGGCTTGGGAACCAGAAGGTCACCAGTTCAAGTCCCCAAAAGACCAAGTGCTAACGAGGTGTCATTGAGCAAGCCACCTAACACTAGGATGGGTAAAATCAGGAGCAATCCATTGCACAGACATATGGACATGTGCCTTCACTAATCATTTGCTGGTATGGTACACATTTCAATGGTAAAAGTGAAATCCACCAATCAGAGACGTCATTGTTACACTTG